TGTAACTTTCTGGGGGTACTGGGAATAGCAGCATTCACTCTGTAAAGTTATCCTTTGATTGTAGACTTTTTTTTATTTTGGTTAAATAGCAACATCTCTCACTGGACTTTTTACCAGAATTCTTAGCAATTCTGCAAATATAAACAATAGACAATTTCTAGGTCTTCTCATGACTTCTAATGCTGGCCAAGGCTGAAATCTAAGATCTAGTTATTAGATTTAAAAGGTTATACGTACCTATCGTCTTATAGATCAAAGAGCATGCTTCTCTTGCACATGGCAACAGGCTGCCCACATGCTGGGACCGATGTGATTACAAATCACAAGCCCCAGGCCGTGTGTTTTGAAGATGGGGAAGAGGTGTGGTTCGGATGCCCTAATTGAGGATACCTAAGAATGCCTTTGCTCTGAATATAAACAGAGATGAGGGCCTAGAGAACTAGGCCATGCAACTTGCAAATTTAGGTGTGGCCTTCGGTAGGTCACAGACTTTTCTTTCTTTCCACAGACTCTTCCTTAACTAGAGTCTGCGTCGGCAGCGAAGGGAAGACATCAATGGAAAACAGCAAAGCAGAGCAGACTGCGAAGGTCTCCACTCACCAGACTGAATTTGTCCTTCACGGGCCCAGTGTCTGCCATCAGTTTAGTCCTGGGGTTCATTTTTAGAATATCTCCAGTCGTGGTGCCCAGGTAGAAGAAGCTGTCATCACTGGGCATCTAGGGGTCGGAGGACAAAGACACCTGAAGACCTGGCTTTCCCCAGTGACGCCCATGAGCCCGGTCAGGGATGGGATGCGCTTTCTCTGAAACACCAAGACCTACAAAGGCGCGCATGGCTACTTCTTATTTTCTCAGACCCAAAGGAGGGTAAGAAAAGCTCGAGGCTGGACTCAGAACTGGCGGAAAGCTTAGACTGCATTTAGCCTGTGCATCTCACGGGAAGTCTATCTGTGTCTGAGGTTAGGGTGCATACCCTGTGGGCTCCATCTCCTGAGACTCCTCCAAAGGGCTCCTAGGATGCAGCTGTACTCCTCCAAAGAGAACAGGCATTTGCTTTATCTCCTATTTTCCAAAGGCTATCTCATAAAAGGACTATGCGCTAGACGAGAGGAACAAGTCAATGGAGAATGGAGTTACAAATCTACATGTATGAATCCACATTGAAAACATATGAATCATTCCTCTTTGTGGAAAGACTGCTTTTCAACAATGACTTGCATTGTTAGAAGCTTTATTTCCAGTGGCAGAGATAACATAAGTGGCACGGCGATGTGCCTCCTTCTGGCCACACTGCTTCCCTCCATGTGTCAGCCCAGGTCCCAGTATTACAAGACCTACCCAGCGTTGTGTCTGGTCTAGTCCAGCTCCTCTCTGACTTCTGACGGGAGCTCCAGAATTGAGACTCTCCCTCACCTGTGCCTCCTCACTCACTATCTCATGTCCAGACCTCCCCTCCCTACCTAAGCCCAAGGTACATGTACACACACACACACACCCCTTGGTCACTGCAGTTAACAGGAATTTGCACTAATAGTTCGTTAAAACAACACAGAGTAATACTTACTGTAATACACAAGACTATCCTTTTCATCTGTCCTGTTAGGCACTCAGTTGGCCAGATTTTTCTATTTGGGAGATCCAGTTCCCATACTCGAATTGTCCCACTACGGAAAAGAAATTCACAATCAAGTGGGTGCCCATGTAACAACCAGTTTGTCTCTTCTCTGTTTCCTGTATGTCTTGAAGCTGAAGAGAAGAGAACTAGCTATATGTGAGGCTTTCTTATAGTCTAGTGCTCTACCGAAGACCTTCCATTTGATGGTCACAACCGCCCTGCAGGGAAGGGCTATGATCCCCCAACTCTCCACACGAGAAAAGGCAGAGGCTGCATACACCAGAGCAAGGACTCGCACCCGGCTCTCTCACTTTGAATCATACACTCTGCCCACGAGAGTGAAAACAGAAAGACTTACAAATAAACAAGAAAACAAACGAAGAGCAAACCAGAGTTCATAGGTATTGATCTGTGAGGAAGTTTTTTAAAAGGAAGGACTTCATTATGGTGAGTCCTGTCTTCAAGGAAGGAGAAATGAGACTAAGCAACGAAAAGTCCAACAAAATCAGCACCCAACACAAGACCTGGCAGGCAGGCGATAGTTCATCCTTGTATGTTAAGTTCATCTGACTTAATAATTGTATAAATATATCATGATCAACATCACCAAGACTTTAGCTAATATCTTAAGACAGAAAATGTTAAAAAAAATCTATTGATCAAGTTCAGTTTTTCTTTTCCTTTAGCCCCCAGAGTTATTCACATAATTAAGTGTTCAATAAGTATTTTGAATGTACTTTCTAAACTAAAAAGAAAAAGCTTTTCCATGGCCTTCCTGTTAGCTGGCATTTGGAGGCTGAAATACTGGGATTTGCCGGATATCTCTTGGAGACAATGGCATGGAACCCCTGAACTTGGGAGCATCGTGGAGAGCCCAGGGTCAGGGCGCCATCCCAGAAATCTTACTTCAGAGGGCTTTTGCTCAGCCATCAGGGTCACATGAAATTAAAGCAGACCTAGGTTAGAGATTGTCCTAAACACTTCTGTTTTGACTCAAATTCAAGTTTGACTCCTGCATGCTTACAGCTTCCACAGCTGCCGAGGAACAGAGCGACCCCATCACATAAAGGCCTCGTCCACCGGCTGAAACCTGAACGGAGCTGAAGAGCCTCATGGTCACCAGCCCCTGGAGACAGGGTGGGACGTGGTCAGCTGCTTCAGGGTCCGGGTACCGCCCTAGTCAGGTTCGCTCCTTAGGGGCTGGCTGTCATCCCAGCCAGTCGTGTCATGGCTTCTGAATAGGCCCCTCTTCATTGTTATCCAGGGAACAAATGCGTGCCACGCGTCACCAGGTGGGGACAGGAAGCAGTACAGGGGCAGAGCAGCACAAATGCTTGGCTCTGGCGGAGAAGCAGGCGACACTGTGTGTCTCTCTAGACGGGAAACCGCAGGTGGGCCAGAAAGGATAGTCCCAGCCAAAGTAGACTTCCCTATACTGCCACCCGACATTCACAGATGTTTGACCTTTGAACTGATATGTGGCATGAAATAGGATGCCTTCATATAGGCTGGGGAGTCTGTAAATTAATTTTTTGCGGTTAAGCAGATGCTGGCCTCGGTTCAGACCTTGGTCCCCTACTGGAAAGGATCTCACATGGCTACTAGTCAAACCCTTGAAACTTCCTGGAACAGTTCATTCTCAAACTATCATTTCATGAAACCGAAATCAAAAGCAGGTGGGGAAAAACATCACCCAGTGAGCGAATCTGCAAAACGCTTTGGGAGTACAGCTTGTGGGTGATGTGTTATCAGTAACACCTGGACCAGAACCGGAAATGGATTTAGCAGATAAGCAGAATATTTTCGGTGGGAAGCACAGAATTTTCAAATAACCATATTTAAGACTTTAGGATCTGTTTCCAGGATCGAAAACATGTCCCCCCACACTGGAATGACCCTGTTTTCTGCATAAGCAAATAAAGTGGCTTATGGGTCCTGCACCCCTGCCTGCAGATGCGTACTTCCCAGCGGTGACAAACATCTCGTCGCAGCCCCCCGAGAAGATCACCGCGGTGGCATTGCCCACGTTGAGGCCGGCCGCAGGGCTGCCGCAGATGGCGTCCCTCTTGGCTATGCTCCACACCACCACGCTGCCGGAACGAGAGGGACAAACAAGTCAGGGCCAGGCGGGCTTTTCAAAATAAGAAACCGTTCTTTCAGTAGTTCTAGAAAAAAGGAAAAAACAGGTCACTTACAAAGGAACACACAAAATTACACTGACCGTCCTCCCTCCCCCCCAGACATCTCTTGGATCACACTGGATCTGAGAAGACAAATAAGTGACACTTAACATTTTTTTTTAAGGAAAATGATTATGACATTAGAAACTAGCAAGTGCAACAATCAAGTCCGATGCTAAAATAAAGACATTTTCAGACATTCAAGGCATAGAAATTGACCCCCCATTTATATCATGTAAAAAACTCCCTTGGGGAAGTTTTTCAGAAAAAAAAAAAAAGCAATAAAGAGGACGACCTAAGGCAGTACAGTGGGGCCTTGACTTATGAGTGTCCCGACTAACGAGTTTTTCGAGATACGAGCTGTCTCTCAGCTGATTTTTTGCTTTGAGTTGCGAGCTAAAATTCGGGTTATGAGCCAGCTGCAGATACCCCACCGCTAGCTGGCGCAGCGAACGTCACAGTGAACACCACAACATCAGCCCAGCATCACGTGTCTCACTCGTTCAATTTAAGATTTGACATACGAGTAATTTGAGTTATGAGCTCGGTCACGGAACAAATTAAACTCATAAGTCAAGGCCCCACTGTATTCTCAAACTTGACCGTGTATCAGAATCACTTGAGGGCTTGTTAAAGCAGAGTGCTAGGACCCACCCTCAAGCTTCCGGTCAGTAGTCCAAGTATCACAGAAATAGAATACAAATGTTACAAACCTTGTCAATGTAAAGCATGCCTATTTATATTTCCCAAATTGTACACATGTGTAATGTGTGATCACAGGTAATCTAAAATCAAGGTCTAACCAAGATCTCCAAGAATGGAGAGGTAGGAGACAATGTAAGAACCACACATTTTTTTTCCTTAGTAAGAAGTTGATAGTTACCATCTAACATGGGAAATTTAGGAGACCCAGACC